AAGGGCGGCCAGCTCTTTAGTGAGGCTCTTGATCCTTATCTGATTGAAGACAAGGACAAACACAAGATTCTGACCCACCTGACAAAGAGAATGGAGAGGAGAACTTCCTCCTCCTTCCCTGCAGAGCATCCTTTCGATCTGACGCAGGCACAGAGCAAGGGTTCTTTTCTCGCCCCTATCAGCCCAGGTCAGACCAACAGTGAGAGAAACGGCAACAGGGACAGGTTCAGACAACAGTTCCAATCAAAGCGACCCTTTCAAGGAGCCAACCCTACCGTAGATCCAAGTGATGGGGGGGCTCCCCCATTGGTGGCAGGCTAGCTCTCTTTGCTCACAAATGGCAAGCCACCACCACGGACCTTTGGGTCCTAAATACCGTCACATTCAGCCTATCACTGGAATTCACCTCAACACCCCCGAATCGGTTCATCCCTTGCCCATCTCCAAGGGATCTGACCAAAAGGAACCTCATCAAAGAGGCCATCCAGCACCTCCTGGACATTCAGGCCATAGCACCGGTAAAAAGAGGTCAGTGGGGACAGGGATTCTACTCCATCTTATTCATAGTCCCAAAGAGTTTGGGGGGTGGAGAGCAATACTAGACCTAAAAAGCCTAAACAGGCACCTGGCATACAGAAAGTTCAAAGTGCAAACCCTCCAATCGTTATTAGCAAGCATCAGAAAGGGAGACCTTCTGACGTCCATAGACCTGACGGAGGCGTACCTTCACATTCCCATACTTCCAGAACACCAGAGGTTCCTCAGGTTCTACCACACGGGACAGCATTTTCAATACAGGGCCCTGCCTTTTGGACTTTCTTCAGCACCCAGGGTGTTCACAAAGGTATTGGCAACATTCGCTGCGTATCTGAGAATAATTCCTGTGTGCATCCAATGTTATCTGGATGACATTCTCATCCAATCTTCATCAGCACGGTCAGATCTGGCACTGACTCTAACAACCCTTCAAGAACACGGCTTCTCAGTAAATTTTCAAAAATGCAAGGTCCATCTCTCGCGAGATCGTCAACACAGCATTCGAGCCCTGGTCAGACTGATTCAAAGGAAACGAAGCACGACACTGTCCACACTCTCGCAATTGCTATGAAAGATGGTTTCATGTCTCGCAATCGTGCTTTGGGCACGGCTACACTCCAGAGATCTGCAGTGGTTCTTACTCCCGTTCCAGAGAAGAGGAATAGGCTCCTCCAACCAAAGAGTAAGGGTTCTGCCAAAGGTCATAAGGTCGCTCCAGTGGTGGTCCTCCCCAGCAGTAAGGAAGGGACACATGTTCAAGGAAGCCGACCGAGTCATTCTGACCACGGACGCCAGCTTATTCGGTTGGGGAGCACACCTACAATCATAACTGGCACAGGGCCAATGGTCAAAGAAAGACCTAAGACACAACATAAACTGGTTAACCTTTGCCACTTTCGTGACGCAGTGGCGATCAGCACGTTCTGATTCTCACGGACAACGTGGTGGCCAAGGCGCACGTCAACCTCCAGGGAGGCACATGATCCAGGTCCCTCATGGCCGAAGCCCAAGCACTGGGAGCCTGGGCAGAGAGCAACCTAGCCTCCCTCAAGGCCGAGCACATCTCAGGAAAAGCAAATCAACAGGCGGACTTCTTAAGCAGGGTGACGATAGACTACTCAGAGTGGAGCCTGCACCCTGCTCTCTTCAGGGAAGCATCAGAGAGATTCGGCCACCTAGTGCTGGACCTGTTTGCCAGCCCCAAAAATGCTCAGCTCCCGAGGTTCTTCTCCCTTTTTCCATCACCAGGAGCAGAGAGATCAGATGCACTTCGAGGTCATTGGCCGAAAGGACTGCTGTATGCAACTATCAGAAAGATATTGCAGGAACAAGCAGAGGTGATACTCATTGCACCACACTGGCCAAGACAGCCGTGGTTTGCCGATCTCGTAAGTCTCTCTACATCCCCACCATGGAGGATTCCACACGATCAAATCTCCCTCAACCAGGGGGCCCTATTACATCCAAAGCCACAGTGGCTCCAATTAGCCGCCTGGCACTTGAGCGGAGTCTCCTAGAAAGAGACAACTTTTCACAAAGAGTCATTGGGACACTCCAGGCCTCTAGAAGGCCTACAAATAACAAGATCTATGATTCCACTTGGAAAAATTATTGCAGTTAGTGCACTAGACAACAGCTAGACCCTTTTAGTATTTCGATCCTGGATATCTTAAACTACTTAGCGGGGTCTGGATAGGGGGTTAGCGTCCAACACAATTCATAGACAGGTGGCCGCCCTATCCACCATCCTCACCTATGGTAACTCTGAACCACTAGCCAGACACCCAGTGGTGCGATCCTTCATTAAGGGCGCAACAAACAACAGTCCACCCGTGGTCCACAGATATCCCTCCTGGGATCTACCTAAGGTCCTACAGGCCATCACCCTAACTTCATTTGAGCCTGTCCGGACCTGCGATTTACAATACCTGACCCTTAAGTTCGCCTTTCTAGTCGCTGTTACCTCAGCAAGGCGCATTTCAGAGTTAGCAGCCCTGTCAGTTAGGCAGGATCTTTGTACCTTCCACATGGACAGGGTGGTACTACATCTGGACCCCTCCTTCGTTCCAAAGGTCAGTTCCCTATTTCACAGAGCACAGGAGGTGGTGCTACCAAGCTTTTGCCCAGAGCCTACCCATGAATTGGAACGCAAGTGGCACACCTTAGATGTCCGCAGGGTTTTAAAACAATACATCGAGCAAACAGCACCCTTCCACAAATCGGAAGCCCTGTTCATCTCCTTCCGCTCTCACACAAGAGGTCGAAGGGTCACTGCAGCCACAATCGGAAGATGGATTAGAAGGTGCATAGCAGAAGCATTCAGGGGGCAGTCTTTAGCGGTCCCCAGACAAATCACTTCACACTCCACGTGCAGCGCTGCCACCTCAGCAGCGTGGGCAACTCAGGCACTGATTGAAGAAATATGTAGGGTGGCGATGTGGGCGTCGCCTTCCCCCTTTATAAGGCACTACTGTAAGAACGTCCTGTTGAGCTTCACAAAAGCCAGGAAACAGGAACATTGAAACATCCAACAAGTTTAATTCACTGTGTTGAAACAAAGTTAGCACTGGAAGGAACCTCCTTCCAGTGCCTTAAATACAATAAAGTACCACGCCCAGAGCACACACCCCAATTACCACCCGTGATTATACTCCACCCGCGCCTCGCCCTATCCCAGCTAACACCCACGCCCTAGCAATACACTGATTACAAGTGCTGTGCTGTCCCAGTCCACACCCCAAACGTAGCAGCAAACTTAACAGAATCAACAGCATTCCGCTCTACTGCCCAGTCTCCTGCCCCAGCGTCCATGCTTGTCAGACCCAGCGACCCTGTATAGTTCACTAGCCATAGCAGCGCCGGAACAGCGTCCATTTCATTCGGCCCCTTTCGCTTCGTACTGTAACAGGGCAACCATCCGGGTGTTTCCTGATGACGTCGGATGGTCACGCGGGCTGCTCGGCTGCCGCTCCGGGAATCCCAGCGTCCAACTCAGTAGCTGTAATGGCAGCGCAGCACACGGAGCCATCGGATCTATGGCTGGGAGCGCTTGGGTCGTCTGCTAGTGCCTGGACTGGTAACGAGGCTATCGGAGGGTGGGCAGCACGCTGGGTCTGACAACTACAAGTTAGGTTCGCATCTGCGGAGGCCTCCTTTGGCAGGAGGGTGCTCCAATGCATAGTATCAGAGATTGGGACACAGGCCCAGACTGTTCCCCCCCAAAGGGACAGTGAGGTTTTGGTATGTCCCATTGGTGGATTCTCCACTCGTCATGCTGGAGAAGAGGCATTGGTCTTACCTGAACGCCTTTTTTCAGCATGACGATGGAGAATCCACTCCCACCCTTGAGACCAGCTAGGTCCTGTGAGGGGAGAGAATTAAGCCAACACAAGGAAACATAGCCAACAGCTTTCGCCTCAGTCGAGACTGGGAAGGGGAGGTCTCAAGAGGAGAGGCGGAGCAAAATTGGCTGACTTAGTCTACAGGCAGAAGACAAGGAAAACCCATTGGTGGATTCTCCATCGTCATGCTGAGAAAAGGCATTCAGGTAAGACCAACGCCCCTTCTATGGAAGAAAGTAGAATGAGAATGCATTATTTCAACCAATTAAGATATTTATATACTGTTGATTGATTATATTGATACTAAGGATGTGTAGACTATTTAAAATCTATTTTGAAATACCTCATTTCTAGTGTAGAACACTCTTCTTGCAGAGGAAAATGAAAGTCTTGTGTGCTCAGTGGACTGTTCCAAACACTTTGTAACTGTATTGTTCTCAAAGACAATGAGAAACTCGGAACAGAATTCTATCTTTCATTTACAAAAAGGAAAAATGGGAGCAAAATTATTCCAAATTGTCCTTTTCACAGTACTGTCAACAGGGCAGTATTTCACTTTCCACATCATAGTCCCAAACATAAATGTTCAGAACAAACATGCAGGTACTGTAATATGTGAATGCCTAAATGTCAAGGACTGTAGGCTTGAAAGACTTTAAGATATATTACAATCATGAGCGCATTGCAAGAAATGAGCAATTTGCAAACAATCCATATTGCTCTGGGATTTATTGGATTTATTTATTGGTTTGTTGGATAGTTCTAGTTGTTGAATGAAGCTATGACTGGCAACTTAATCTCTTGCAAAGAAGCTGCTGTACAACTGAGAGGTTTTTTTTTCCTTTGCTGCAGAATTTCTTTTGAATGCAAGAGGACTCACCTACAGAGTGGTTGATATGACAGGGAATGATCATTCCAGTGCTCCCTTTGGATATAGTTAATGCTATAATCAGCAACTATTAACACAGTTCATACTAAGTTTGTGATTTAGTCAAATGTGGATTATTTTAATAACATATATATTATCAAATATAAAAATATATCTGTGTAGCAGTCTGTGAGAATTATATTTTATGTATCAGAACTAGGACTTTATTTGGTGTGTTTTTTTCCCTACTATTGCAACAGGCATCCCGGGCCCAAATCCTAGATAAAGCCACAGAATACATCCAGTACATGCGCCGGAAAAACCACACACACCAGCAGGATATTGATGATTTAAGGCGCCAGAATGCCTTGCTGGAGCAACAAGGTTAGTATGCCCAAGTTGGGGTCTTCATATTCATGGGTCTAAAAGTTATGCTATCTCACAACAAAGCCCTCTATATGAGGTTTATGGATCAACATCTAATTACCTGTGTTGAATAAAATGGTGTTGGTGTTTAAGAAGCTTAAAGGTTTTATATGTTGGCAGCATATATAAGTTTTCATGCAGTCACTTGGTCTTTCTTCCCTGGAATGATACTTTATACGAGATTGAAGTAGACCAATAAGTTATCACCAGACAGCTCCTGGACGTCCAGTATGTGTGTGTGCATGCCTGTAGTGTACACATATAAGTATTTCGGATCTAACCTTGCCCCGATGAGGTTAATTTGAAGCACTTGTAATAATAATTCAAGTATAGAAACATATAAAAAAAACTATAACTATGCATAAGGGGTATTAAAAAACCATTCAGTGGATGGTAGAGTACTTATATAGAAATATTGTAGGGGAAAAAAAACCAGATGCCACTACAGAAATAACTTCCATTTTGTCTTTATGCAGGTTGGATGTTGCTTTCAGCATCAATCTCAAGTAGGCTGGGCTTGTTTCAGTCCTCAAACAAAAACATTTCGTTTAAAAAAATAAAATGCAGAGACTTCCACAGCAAACTGGGTTATTTACCTGTCTAAAGCTTGAGACTAGATTGTGTGCAATTATTTCTATTGCTGTCATTTCTACAACTCTTGGACTACAGTAGAATATGAAATTAATTATCCGGTGTTTATGCCAGATTATCCCATTTCGTATCCTTAAACTGGATCCATTAATGCAGCATTTCATATTCTCAGTTGAATTGATATTTTCCATTCACACACATAGCTTCTGTTCCATTGTTTCCTGGAATACCTAAAGCAGGGATTCCTAAACTTTTTGCCAACACACTTCCCTTTAGTGTACACACTTTCCCTAAAAATCCAAATACCAAAATGAACTCAAATGAACAATGAAAGCAATATAATGAAATTTTGGGAAAAGTAGTTTTATTATAATAATGTACAAACATTTCTCCACACTACCCTTGGGCTATCTTTTCTGCAAGGTCATTTTTTCAGGTAGTTTGTAACAAGAGAAGGTTCTTTTTCTTTTGTTTCAGGGCAAAAAACAATATTTGAGGGAAACTGGAATAGATCTAATGGACTTTAAAATTTATGTTTTTATTTACTACTGTAATAGTATGACATACTAAGATCAACTTAGTATATGAAGTTGTGGTACTTTATATATAGTCTCCCATTTAACTCTTTGTCAGCCACAAAATTTTGAATATATATATATATATGAATAAAACACGATCACCGGGAGAGTTGAAGTAAAAATACTTTACTAAAAATATATTAATACTAAAAAGTTGCCAATACTTAACATATATTAAGTATTAGAAATAAAGTGACACGCTGCTGCTTTACATTTGAGATTCCTAAACATAACATCTTATGAGTGAGCAAATTGTTGTAATTGGTTGGGGAAGGGGGAATAGGCATATAAATGTTGAATAGAAAATGTCAATGCTATAGATTGGAAGTAAGAAGCATTGTTATTAAAATAATTCGTAGTAACAAGAAATAGAACTTAAATTGACACAGCAAAAATATGAGAGAGAGTTTCTCAAATCAATCATATTATATTATATAATTAAAATTCATTCGGAGGAAAGAAAAGATTTCAGCTACATAGGATTTCAGAAGTTGGTGGGGGGAGAAATCTAAAGGAAAGGTCATAAGAAACAATTTAAGAGGAAGCCAACAACCCACTGGAAATAAGATGGGGGGGGGGAGTCCTATGACCTAAAAAGAAAAGGCGACTATATCCTCCAGTATATTCCAGGATTCATGATCATTGATTGAGAATTTAACTAGACCCAAATTAGCACTTTTATCATATTGGTGGTAAGCTGCTTTGTGGAAATTCCTTGCTTTGAAAAGTGGCGTTAAAGGGGCCAAGTGGTTTCCCCCATATCAGTTACCTTGTACACCTTGCCTGCCTTTCCCACATCCATTTCCATATTCTTACCTTTTAGTTCGTGCACTGGAGAAGGCAAGGTCAAGTGCTCAGCTGCAGGCCAACTATTCCTCTTCAGACAACAGCCTCTACACCAATCCCAAAGGCAGCACCATCTCTGCCTTTGATGGCGGCTCTGACTCCAGTTCGGAGTCTGAGCTGGAAGAGCCTCAGAGCCGGAAGAAACTTCGTATGGAGGCCAGCTAGAAGAGGCCTTGGTTCCCGCCGCCATTAGACACTTGCTGGCTGCTTAAGGACTTTCTTTTTTCTTTAGTAGAGGCTCTCGGACTGCAGCTCCCTCTATTCCTTGTCCCTTTCTTGCCCTTTTAAAGTTAACCTAACTCTGTGGCTTGGTAGCTTACCGTCTGGAAATCACCAGCCATAGCTTGGGGCAGAATGCAATTCTGCCCTGCGGCTACCAGTTTCTAGTACCAGGAAAGCCCAGACCATTTGATTAAGCTGATGTCTCTGAGATTGCCTGGCATGTGTGGAGATAGTGAACTCTCCATTCTTCCACTAGAACTGCACCAGCCTCTGTTGCTTTTATCAAAATATTGTTATTTATGATAATAAATCCAGATAGCCCCAGAAGAATCTTGGTAAAGGAAAGAAGCATGCAGATGCATGCATGGATGATCCTTCTTGCCTGAAGGGATGATGCAAGATTGATGGCGAGACACAGAAATTCATTTCTTGGTTGTATTTTGGCAAATGATGAATTGGTATTTATTTCCCCCAATGGAATCTCTGTCTGGCCAGGTTCCTCCTCCTGCTACGGACATTGGTAATGTGAAGCTACAGATTCAAACCATGTTAAATTCTTCCCTTTTCTGTTTTGAATTTCTCAGAAACAGAGCCAGCTTTTTTAATGTAAATACACACAAGCTTTGTTACTTGGTACTAATAAATGCATTTAAAGTGTGGACCTGCTCTCTGGCAAATGGGCCAGTTTCCCATGTGAATTAAAGAGGCCTAGGCTGTAAGCAAACAAAGGCCTCTTTGCGCGTAGGTGTGCGTGTGTACACACATATGCATGGATATGCACATGCATGTGTGTGTGGTATGTGTGATCCTTTTTTTTGTCTTCTTTCCACACTTGTTTGTGATGTTTTCTGAATTTAGTGTGTACAAATGTAGCTTGGTCTCTGTCCAGGTGTGAGTCTATTCCATGGAACTGAAGTATGTTGTACATACTGCCCAAGAATTGTCTTGCAAGTTAAGGCTTCCCTTTACTATAAGACTATAAATAAAAAAAAATATTTTATCCTTTTGAGTGGTACTGGTGTCTTTATGGAATGGTTGCAGTTCTCTTGTGTTCTCCAGTATTAAATGGATGATACTTCACAGATTCCAAAACACAGAAACTAAATCCAAAGAGATTTTTTGGGGGGAAGGGGAAGAAGTTGGTTCTCACTTACTTAATATTTTTCTCACTCTTTAACTGGGCTATTTCTCAAAATGGTTCACAATATTCACTAAAAGTAGCCAATGCACGTACAGAATAATTCAGTAAACAAAAATTCAGTTTGGTGTCACCAGGAGTAGGTGTCCAATAGTTTATAAAAAGTATTTTTCAGCTGGGCTCCAAATTTCATCTTCTTTGCCTGTCTGGAAATTGTGTGGATTCACCAGTCCTTTTGCAGACCCCCGGAACACACACACATGGATAGGATCAAAGTTGTTTTGATTTTGTGGGGGACATTTAAGATGCAACATGTCTTAAGATTTCTTGTGTTTGCAAGAAACAACTGTTACCAAAAAGAGAGAGTGACACAGAGAGAGATAATCCAGGCTTCATATATTTCGTTTCTCCACAGGTAACTCACAAAGTCATTAGCCATATTCCTTGTGGCTTCTTTATAATTAAGAGAAATTTTGCTTTCTCCATGTATTTTACTGGATTATTATGCATTAGATCAGATATAGGATAACTGAGAACTTGATAACATTAAAAAAAACTTTAGGAGTTTTCATATTTGTGACTGGAATTTTACAAATTTATAGTAGTGAGATCTGCAAGACTTGATCCCCAAACAAATGTTGCTAGATTACAACTTCCAGGAGAGTTTGGTTTAGACTGAGACAGTTTGGTCTAGTGGTTAAGGCACCAGACTAGTAACCAGGAGACTCTGAGTTCTGGTCCTGCCTAAGGCTTGAAAGCCGGTGGGTGACTTTGAGCCAGCTGCACTCTCAGCCCAGCCTACCACACAGGGATAATTATTGTGGGGAAAATAGGAGGAGGAATAGATATGATCTCTGTCTTGAGTTATTTATAAAAATAATAAAAGTGGGATATGTGTACATGCATACGTGTGTGTGTGTGTGCAACAATATATTGCAAGCCAGACCGGGTTCATATGATGTTACTATCAGGTCAGATCAGCACAACGTCATCCTTAGAACTAATACATTTAGATTATTTGAGGTTGTATCAAATCCTGTAGTGATTTTACAATTATTTAGAAAACTAATTTCATTTCTGTTGCTACTCTTGCTTTATTGCCACACTGCTTCTAAATAACCTATATTTATAATTTTGTGCCAGTATATCCCATTGGTTAGTCCTGAAAACATAGGATATGGCTTCATTGATCTTAACTTTTTATTAGAAAAAAAGATAAAAGTCTACTGAAGGCTTTGTGAGTGTCTGAAAACCTGGAAGCCAGGGAGAATTTATTGACTAGATACCATGATTCAAGGCTAGTGTTGAAATACAAAAAGTCTTCGCTTAATATACTATTGGTAAAAGTGTTGCTAGAACTAAAGAAAGTAACATGTAATTTCCATTAGTTTGAACAAAAGACATTTAGTGGGTATATTTTTGTGATGCAGTCAGTGGACAGACTGAGCTTTTAAAACAGGGAACATATCCACATTCACTAGTACTAACATACTAGCTAGTCAGGTAATTAAGCCTCTGCAAATAAACAACCAGCTCAGAAAGCATCAAGGAATTCACAGTTCAACCCTGAGTTACAAATATTCTTTTGCTGAGCTTTTAATCATCAATGGGAGCAGCCTAGAATGAATTAATTAATTCTTGTGCTGTGCCGGAAAGCTGGGTATTAAAGTTGGCTCTGATTGCATCTTGCGAATGCCACCCAGCAGCCCTGTTTAGGGTCACCGGACCTTTCTTGGGAAGGGTGGCCCTGTGATCCATCTTCAGTGCCGCGCAGAGGGATTTTCAAAAATTGAGGATAAAATCGCTCCGTATCGCAGTTGGACTCGTGCAAGTCCTGTGGAGATGCCCAGGGAAAGGACTTCTTTATTTGGGAACAGTTTGATTCTGCTGGGCCTGAGGAAGTGAACAGGGTCTGAAGGAGCGCAAACCCTACTGCCTGTATATTAGATCCAGGCCCCTGCTGGCTAGTTAAGGCCTCTCGGGAGGTGACATGCAGTTGGGTCCAAGCAATCGTGAATTGATCCTTGTCTGAGGGGCTGCTTCTGGCTACCTTCAAAGAGGTGCAGTTGTGTCCCATTCTCAAGATGCTATTGCTGGACTCCACCATTCTGGACAACTCATCCAGTCTCTTTCTAGGAAAGGTAGTTGAAAAAGTGGCCTTGCAGCTCCAAAGGAGCCTGGAGGAAATGGATTATCTGGACTCTTTTCTGTTGACTTTCAGGTCCAGATATGGGACTGAAATTGCATTGGTCATGCTCATGGACTATCTCTGGCAGGAGCAGGATGGAGGTAGTGCATCCATCTTGGGTTTCCTTGACCTGTGATCTGCTTTCAATACCATCAATCATGGTATCCTTTTGGGCGGACTTAGGGAGTAGGAGGTGGGCAGTGCAGTTTTGCACTGGTTCTCCTCCTTCCTACAAGTTTCCAATCAGTGTTAATAGGAGTGAAGTCCAGCCAATGGCCCCTCCTTTGTGAGATGCCACAGAGCTTGGTACTCACTCCACTTGTCTTTAACATCTACATGAAACTGCTGGGCCAGATCATCCGGTACCATGGGACAAGGTATCACCAATATAGTGATGATACCCAGCTATATATCGCTGTCCTGGGTGAAATGAGTGATGCAGTGGGCATCTTTTTGCGGTGCCTGGAGACTGTGGAAGTCTCGGTGGGAAACAACAGATTTCAACTGAACCCTAGTAGGATGTAGTAGTTGTGGGTGGGCCCCTTTGTGTACAGGAGTTTATCATCTTTGATCTCAGATAGGTTGCACTATCCCAAACAAACCCGGGGCATAGCTTGAAGGTCCTCTTGGAGTCATGACTCCTGCTCGAAAAGCAGGTGACAGTCATGACCAGGAGGGCTTTTGCCCAACTTCACATTGTGCACCAGTTACGCTCCTTCCTGGACAGGGAAGCTTTCCTCTTGGTCCCTCATGCCCTGATCATCTGCTGATTGAACTATTGCAACGCGCTCAACTGGTACAGAATGTGGCTGCGTGAGCTACACTGTGCGTCCAGAGAAGGACAACACCTCTGCTCTGCGAACTAGATTGGGTGCTAGTTTGTTTCTGGGTCTAATTCAAAGTGTTGGTTATTACCTATAATGCCTCTATGGCATAGATCCAGGCTACCTATGGAACCAATTTCGCCCCATCACATCAGCCTGTCCCACTCGTTCAGGGAAGGAAGGCATGCTATATACCCTGTCAAAGAGTTTCAACTGGCGGGATCAAGGAAGAGGACCTTCTCTACCACTGCCCCTGCTTTGTGGAACATCTTGCCCTCACGAGTTGAGGAAAGTCCTCAGTCTTTCAGCCTTCCGCAAAGGGGTCAAAACTTGGTTGTGTAGCCTTGTGTGGGGGACACAGGCCCACACAGACATGTGGTTGGCTAGCCTCAGGAGAACCCCCCAGCCTTGTATTACAAACTCCTAGTCCCTCCACCTTGGAACTCTCTCTCTCTCTCTCTGTGTATGTGTGTGTATATATGTGTGTGTGTGTGTGTGTGTGTGTGTGTGTGTGTATTTTAAAAATGTTTTAATCTTATTCAATTTTTAATGTTTTATTATAATGACCAATTTGTATACTGCACACAGCCTCTCTATGAGAGAGATGGGCAGTGATATAAATAAATAGAGATGGGCAGAGATAGATAGATAGATAGATAGATAGATAGATAGATAGATAGATAGATAGATAGATAGATAGATAGATAGATAGATAGATAGATAGAAAGATAGACAGATGATAGATAGATAGATAGATAGATAAATAGATAGATAGATAAAGTCTTCCACAAGAGCAATTAAGGTGGCCCTAAATTAGGGAGAGGCTCTCTAAGACAGAGGGGGGCGGTGTCCTTAAGGCCATTTTCCAAAACTTTTTCTCATTATCCAGACAGAATCCAACATCCTTGGAGCAACTGAAAGAGTTTTGAGCTTATAAAGCATAGCAACATGTTTTGGGTTAACAACAATGCTAAACATCTAGAGAAGTAGCCCCCATCTAACATTTTAATTGATATGAAGAAAAAAATAGGTCTCACTTAGGAATGAAAAGTTGTGTTTTCATACATTACGCTATATTTCAGAGCATTCAAAATGAAGCACTAGTGGCTGTAACACTTCTCTTTTACTTCAGGTTTCCCACCAGTCTGATTATAATTTTTAAAAATGGGCCTCACTGGCATCTTCAAAAATAAAAAAGCTGACTGATTGTAGCTCTGGCTTATATATATGTATTTCTTTGATCAAAAATCCTGTACAAAAAAATTAGGATTGCATAGGATCTTGAGGAGAAGGAAGCCAGCATGCTCATTTGCCTTCCGATAAACAATTATTTTGTTACAAATCTGGCCCATAATGGCAGTCATTTAGTTGCAGCATCTACATCATGGCAAAAATTCAGATATGCTACCACCCTTCCCCAGATGTTTATTTATGCTTTAAATTATATTTCCAAGATTATAATTATTAATGGATGGGATATGTATCATCCATTAATGTACTTTTTACCTTTGGGAACAAAGCAATTCTTGACAAGTCTTCACATGTATTGCTCTGAAATGTTTTTTAAAAATATTTATTTGCTTGCTTGCTTGCTTGTTTGTTTAATTTCTATAACCGCCTGTCAAACAAATGACTCTGAGCGGCAAATATAAAACATATCCTGAATTGCTCTGAAATATTATGTCTCTTCCTGAAACAGAATAAATAATGCAACTTACTCTAGTATCTCTGTGCAATGCATGTTTTTTGCCCAGAGTCTGTAAATAATATTTGGGATACTGGTGGTAAAAGGTAAAATAAACAATAAAATGGGTCATGTATCAGGGGATAGAATTTTCAGTTTTCTCCTGGATTATTGGTGACGGAAGGTTTTTTTTATAACTAAAGTGGTCACATTTTAACCGTATTTTAGCACTTACAAGAACATCATGATCTTAGCTCACAGCTGCTTGTCATATTTGGTAAAAAAAAGGGTTGGAGGACACAGGAGAGCACAAGACTTGAAGTTTGGCCCTTGCTTTAGCTCAGTTTTTACTAATTGGGTGTCTGCCAAAGCGAGTTCCAATAATTCTGTTCCTCAGCCAGAGGAGCCATACTTCTGGAAGGTATCAAGATTTCTCATGATCATTGGGCTTTAATTAATTCTTTATTGGGCTTTAGTTAATTCTTTATTCTGCTTGGGACAAAACAAAGTACACAAGTATCTCCCAGAGCCAAAGTTATTGTTGCAGCATTCTTGGTTCTAGTAGAAACTGACAGTTCAAACAATTTGCTATTTGGACAAAAAAAGAACATGCAGAGAATCCAAAGTACATTCCTGGCTCAAGCCTGTTGCAGTAATGAAAAGATGGGCATTTTCTGTTCAAAAAGGAGCAGCAAGCATGACAGCAGATGTGAATCCCAGTTTGCAATCTAGTAAAGCATCTGAATTTATCTAGAGGGAACTTTTAATTGTCACTAAATTTTCCACCTAAGCTAGTCAGACTTCTATATATTTACTGTACAGAAGAAATAGATGAAAATGTTTGTGTATTTTCAATAATGATTTAGAAAACTATTTGGGCAATTGCTTTATTTACATGCTTAACTTGTACAACTAATGTGTCCTATAGGAACCACATATGTTGCATGACTCCTAGTGCTATGAAAACAGATAGCCTCTTAGCAACATCTCAGGAGGATGCTAACAAAATATTGAAGCAAGGAAATGACTGCTGCCTCATATGTAACAGGAAGTTGCATAGGTTCCCAGTTTTAATGTTGCAGATTGCAGCTGTCCCTGGCCTTCTGTTTTTCTAGAATATTATGTTTGCAGATTCCCTGGCTATAACCTTATAAGCACAGGAAAAAGGGGGCATCTCCAAGATTGTGCTCAAATTTTAGTATATTTATACAATTTGTGGTTTATATAAGAACCAGCTTTTTAACTTTATTATAAGATCTAGTTATAAGCAGAAGTGAATGATGTGAAAATCTGTCGACTTGTAAGATTTGAGTTTTGCTTTTCACTTTTGCAGCTGAGTAATTAACCTTATAGTTATTATAAAGTTATTAACTATATTTTTATTCAGTGCAATTTTTTCTCTCAGCTCTACCTATTACCGGTATTATCATTTCTTGTGTTCTAAAGTTGTAGAAGCCATGCTAAGTTTGTGAAAAGTAGACAACCAGGAATTAGCATAGTTCAATGAAGCCCTGAAGAGTACAGTGACATCTCTCATCTATTGGGACAATTTATAAGCAAAAAGACTCAACAATCATTTCCCCTTCCAGCCTGATTGTAAGTAGATGGAAATTTGCCTTCTCCTGTAAAAATCCTGCACAGGAAATACATGCAGAAATAGGGGATCAGAAATGCTAAGATTTTTATGCATACAAATTTATAATATTAGAGATATTTCTACCCACCCCACCCCAACACCTTAAAAAACAGTATTGCTCTGAACAGAAACAACTGCTTAGCCTGATGTTTTCAATAGGTCTGTTCTTCCTATGCTTGTTAAGAATATTGATTTCAACAGGGAAGTTACATTTTCTTTTTTAGATCACCACAAAGCTATAAGGAAAGTAATATTCTCATCCTAAATTTATGTTAATTGCATTTTCTGTAAGCAATATCAAGTAACTTTAATAAAAACATTGTGCAACAGACTATGCATGGTCCTTTGCATAATTTCAATTAAAAATACAACTAAGCAGCATTATTCTGTCTTTCTGGTGTGTGGCCTTGATAATACCTCAAGGGAATGGAGTTCCTCATGCACATACATCAAAACCCCCACCCTTATTTTTTTTAAGCAACATCTCATTGATGAGTCAGAACTATAGTTTAATACCAGTAGCTCTGAACTCCATTTCAAAAAGTAAATAAACACTCCAACTGGGGCTTATTAAGCACGCTTATCATTCTAAGTAAACTATCTAACAATATATATTAAATTTCTAACATGAACAATCAATACAATTACAATAACTAAACAATAATTAGGACTCTACAAAGCACAGTGGCAACCTACCCAGAGGGCAATTGTTCCATCTCCTCCCCCTGCCCTGCACTCACACTTTTTTTTAGCAGTTCCTGAAATCTAACATTTCTGACATTTTGCATGAAAGACACCATTCATTGGTCATTATTCAATGGTTCATTAATACAAAGCATAGATTACTACAGTATACAGTATGTGAATGAGTATTTTTGCAGCTCTTTACTCTCGTTAAGTAGTAAAAAAACTGCTGTCTGCTATTTTTTTTTACAACCACCCGTTAAATTGCCTTTTCATAGCTGCATGGAAACTTCTATTACTGTCCAAAATCTTAACTATCTTATGTGGCTGCATGGAAACTACTTATAGAGGCCTACCTCCTTAAGTTATTGTACTTTAAACTTATAGGATTTACTGAGGGAGGTATACTCAAGAAAGATGATACATTGTATTGCCACTAAAATTAAGTTGGTATCCAAAAAGCTGAATTCCTGCATCCTGGATTATATAAATAAAGAAAATCTGCATGCATAGACATACAGCATGCAGTTGTTTAGACTCATTTACTTTTCCCAATTATGAAGAGGGATATATTTACTGATGCTTCAAATTCACCCTTTTCAGCTGCCCAGAATTTGCTTATCTTTAGAGATTTCACAAAGCAGCTGTTTTCAAGCATATCCTTACAGATATAGAAGATAGTAACTTAAGACAGTTTAAAAGTCAACATTTTCACATTGTTAAATCTACTTTCTCCTTTCCCCCCCATTGACTTATGCTGTTAAATCAGAAATATGAGTGTTTGCATTTTTTTTCTGCTTTATGCTCCCAATAAAGGGGGAAATAAATGATGTCTCAGATTTTGTTCCATTTATCAACAATCTTTCCTGCTTTCAAAAGCATATCTTTTTCACCTTTCATTTATTGCAATTCCAACATTAGAGAAACCATAGGATTCTGTCCATCCAAATGTAGATCAACTTTCCTTTACCTAAGTGCCTTCTAGATGTAGAGATGAATTTTTAAAAGTCCTAGCAAGCACAACTATCGCACAGAATGCCATGAATTGACATGTATAGTCCATACCTAAAGAACACCCAAACAGAAGACGGTTTTATGTGGTTTCTACTGGTTGTTGCAGAAAACAATTCTTCTTGCTTCAGCTCCTTCACATCAGTCTTCCATAGTGTTATATTTATACAAAACGTATTTGTGCTGTAGGGCTCTTCTTGAGAAGCAGAATTCTACCAAACCAACCTAAGCTTAATCTAACCATTAAAGCCAGCAGCAGCATATACGCTGCTGTTCGTATAAAGAAACAAAATTTTATAATGAAAGTTTTTGGGAATTAAGGATTTTTTAATCATTTGGAAATAGGTTTGCAAAAGTCCAATGGGAGCCACTAGAAAAAAAATATAATGCAGTTTAACCTAGAATGCGGCAAAGTTGACTGAAAGTTCCAATGACATACGAGATGATATTTTAATATAGGTGGAATATTCGCCTGTTCCTACCATGCAGAACAAAAATATAATCCCAAGAAGACTAAATGTAATTATATTTCTTAATGTATAGCCCAGCACTAAAAGGGCTTTCAGGCAGCCTTCTGAATTAAAACACATTTACTGTGAAGAATTTTATTAACAGTCACAACTGTACAAGTAATAAGAAAGGGATTAATGTATATGCAGTGCATTTAGAAAGTATTCAGACTCCCTTCATTTTTATCAATTTTGTTATGCTGCAGCCTGATTCTACATTGTTGATATTCATTTTTTTCTCATTAATCTAGTCAGTACCCCACAATGACAAAGTGAAAACAGAATTTTAGAAATGTTTGTAAATTTACTAAAAGGAAAAACTGAAATATCACATTGGCATAAATATATAGACCCTTCACTCAGTACTTTGTTGAAGCATCTTAGCAGAAATTACAGCCTCAAGTCTTTTTGGGTATGACACAACAAGCTTTGCACACTTGGATTGGGGAATGTTCTGCCATTCTTCTTTGCAAATCCTCTCAAGCTGAGTCAGGTTGGATGGCGACCATCAGTGGACAGCCATTTTCAGGTCCCTCCAGAGATGTTCAATAGGGTTCAAGTCAGGGCTCTGGCTGGGCCAATCTAGGACATTCACAGAACTGTCCCTAAGCCACTCCTGTCATCTTGGCTGTGTGCTTAGAATCATTGTCATGTTGGAAAGTGAACCTTCGGCCCAGCACTGTGGAACAGGTGTTCATTGAGTATATCCCTATACTTTGCTCCATTCAGCTTTCCCTTATCCTTGACTAGTTTCCCAATCCCAGCTGCTGAAAACACCCCACAGCATGATGTTCCCACCATGCTTCACTGTCGGGCTATTGGGCAAATGATGAGCAGTGCCTGGTTTCCTCCAGACATATTGTTTAGAATTGAGGCCAAACAGTTCAATCTTGGTTTCATCAGACCAGAGAATCTTCTTCCTCACAGTCTGAGAGTCCTTCAGACCTTTTGCAAACTCCAAGAGGGCTTTCATGTGCTTTGCATTGAGGAGAGGCTTCTGTCTAGCCGCTCTGCCATAAAGTCCAGATTGGTGGAGAGCTGCAGTGATGGTTGTCCTTCTGGAACTCTGTCCCATCTCCTCACAGGATCTCTGGAGCTCAGTCAGAGTGACCATCAGGTTCTAGGCCACCTCTCTTACTAAGGTCCTTCTCCTGATTGCTCAGTTTGCCTGGGCAACCAGCTCTTGGAAGACTCAGGCTTGTGCCAGTTCTTCCATCTGAGAATTTTGGAGGCCACAGAACTCTTGGGAACATTCAGTGTAGCAGAAATTTTATTATAGGCTTCCCCAGATCTGTGCCTTGCAATAATCCTGTCTCTGAGCTCTGCAGGTAGTTCCTTTTGCTCTGCTACAGAACCTATTGTTAGCTATGAGGCTTTCTATAGAGAAGTGTGTGCCTTTCCAAATCATATCCAATCAATTTAATTTACCTCAGGTGGACTCCAATCTAGGTGTAGAAACATGTCAGAAACTATCAAGAGAAATGGAAGACACTGGAGCTAAATTTCAAGTATTGTTACAAAGGGTCTGAATATGTATGCCAATGTGATATTTCAGTTTTTTGTTTTTAATAAATTCATAGACATTTCTAAAATTCTGTTTTTACTTTGTCATTATGGTGTACTGAGTGTAGATTAATGAGGAAAAAATGAATGTAAAAAACTGTAGAATCAAGCTTTAGTATAACAAAATTGACAAAAGTGAGGGGGGTCTGAATACTTTCTGAATGTACTGTGTATGTATGTATGTATGTATGTATGTATGTATCTATCTATCTATCTATGTATCTATCTATCTATGTATCTATGTATCTATCTATCTATCTATCTATCTTATAAAATGCATAAACATCATTGTATTATCAATCCCATCCCTGGACAAGCAATTAAAAAGGAAAATAAAGTCTTGCACCAAGCATTCCTATCTGAGTCTTTTTGCTCTAGGCAGAAAGAGACCTTTTATTACCAATGTTCAAGACCACGGTTTCCCAGTGTGCCCCAACATGTGATATAGAACTACATAGTGAGGATATGCACATACCATCTTGCTTGGTTTTCTTTCTCCTGATGTATCCAATAACTGCGAAACTCATTTTCTGGCTAGAAATGTTTAGAATTCCTCAGGGAATGTAAATAGCCAGATAAAGAAACTGCCAGAGTAGGAGATCAATGTACCATCTCTGGCCAAGCCAGTATGCAGCTGATGATGACGCTGTACACCCACACACACACCCCTACTTCCCACCTCCATGATGCTTAGCATAGTGCAAATGAAACAACAGAGCTGCTTTGCCAGATGCTTACGATAACAACATGCTGCATTGTTTGAAAAACAAAGCTGCTCCTTAATGAGAGGCCTTCCTGCATAAGTGAGCACCTAGCATGATCAACCATACACTATCACACAGCCAATCAGCTATTCCATTCTAAAAACTGGTATATTTTTGGTATGGCTAGCAAAGCTCTCTCAAAAGACACACACACACACACACACACACACACTAGAGCCCAAGGAAGTTAGCTTCATGGCTCAATCCCACATCAGCCAAGACGGTATGCAGCGTTATGCACCGAACATCAGAACAGTACACGGCAGAGTCTCTCTAAGGGCAGCGGAAAGGCTCAGTTAGTAAAAGTCTCTTCTCTGCTTGGAATTGGCTTTTTCAGGAAGTGTATCACAGCTTGCATCACTTTGCCAGGGGAGATGTTGTAGACAGGATGCGTTGGCTGCTGTTTGGGAATGAAGGAAAGTAAAAAAAAAAAATTAGCCACAATTCTGCTGGCTGTTGGTAGTTCTCTAACAAACAAACCAAAAGAAGAAGAACCCAAATCTGGTCATTTAAATATGTTATATAAGACATTCAGTCGGCAGATGCATTTCATTTTGCTTGATAAAAGCTTGACCACAGAGCTACAGGGAGTCCTTGACTTACATCACAATTGAGTTCAGAACTTCTATTACTAAGTGAGGCAGTTATCAAGCGAGTCTGACTGATCTTTTTTTGCTACAGTCTTTAAGTTTCCATTATTGGCTTTGTTTGTTGGGAGCCTCCTGAGAAGGTCCCAAATGGCAATTACATGATCCCAGGATGCTGCAAACATGTAAATGTGAGCTAGCTGTCAAGCACCAAGATCATGATCTTGTGACCATGGGGCACTGCGATAATAAGTACAAGGACCAACTGTAACTTTTTTCAGCACTGTTGTAACTTTGAGTAATGAGTTAAACAAATAGTCCTCCCCATATATTAAGTCAGTGTTTCCCAAACTTGACAATTTTAAGGCATGTGGACTTCAACTCCCAGAATTCCACAGTCAGCGTTGCTGGCTGTGGAATTCTGGGAGTTGAAGTCCTCATGCCTTAAAATTGTCAAGTTTGGGAAACACTGTATTAAGTCCTGAAGCCTCACTTCTGGATCATTAGAAAATTGCCTCAACTTTGCTCTGACCACTGAACAATGTGTTGCGAAGCCCAGTTTTAAGTGAATCAATATCCTTAAGCTGTTTTCAAGGTTTAGCATTGAAAAAAAAAAGACACATTCCTGTGGCTAAGTCAACAACGCTTGCTTGCCTATCTCTGCACAATGAAATAGCAAGATTCAGCGAACTCTTCTGCTTCCCATCTAGCTGGCGGGGAAGATTTTTCCTTCTGGTTACCAAGTTGGAAACTATGTGAGGATGAAGAGATAAACCTAGAGGTGACCTCATGTAAGCCTCCCTGAGCTCTGAGGAGGATGAGCATGGCATCACTTGTAACTAACGTTAGCACCTAAATATCTCAAAGGAATATTTTTCAAAATATTACCCTCATGAAATGTTTCTCCACAAGAGGAACGAGAGATACAGTAAATAGAGAAGACAAGAACCAAAAGAGATATTGGATGTGCTCCACGTGGCACATGTGTATCAGCTTGCAAGTGATGGTTGAAAGCTCAAGGCCTGAAAAAAAATAGGCAGAAGGCCCAAAAGTCTCACAAGTATCTTCTATACCAGTGGTTCTCAACCTGTGGGTCGGGACCCCATTTGGGGTCAAATGACCATTTCACAGGGGTCACCAAACCACGCTGTCCGCCATTTTTTTCCCTTTTCCCTAGCTGTCCTACTCCCTCTTATTGGTGGCCACACCCACTTGGGGGTCACCACAACATGGGGAACTGTATTATGGGGTCACAGCATTAGAAAGGTTGAGAACCACTGTTCTATACCTTGAATCCAGGGAGTCCTTGACTTCGACCACAATGGAACCCAAAATTTCTGTTGCTAAGCAAGGTAGTTCTGACCCAGAGTTGTTACGTAAATCACTGCAGTTGTTAAGTTAGCAATACGATTGTTAAGTGAATCTGGCTTCCCCACTAACTTTCCTTGTCAGAAGGTTGCAAAAGTGATCATATGTCTCTGGGACATATCATTAATCAGTTGCCAAACGTCTGAATTATGATCGTGTGATCATGGGGATGCTGCAACAGTCGTAAGTGTGGGAAAAGTCGTAGATCACTTTTTTTCAGTGCCGTTGTAACTTACAACGGTCACTAAATGAACCATTGTAACTTGACGACTACCTGTATGGTTCCTCTTCTTACCAAATTTTCACCAAAGCCAGCTCGCCTAAATCTTTGAAATGTTTCTTCTTTCATTTCAGCCACTAAATACCATTGCCTCAAACTGTAAGATTAAGGATGGGCTGCATGTCTTTTCAAATGTATTTTATAAGGCTTGCTTTGATTTTGGTTGTTAAAAACTAATTCCTATGGTTCTGTCCATCGCCTGGGTGGCATTTACTGCTGTTATCTGCCGAGGAACAGACGCTCTCCAGGAAAGAAACATTTATGACAGATTTCTGATAGACTTTAATTGCAGTAAAATTAAGGTCCCTCATTTATGGAACATTGAGGGATTTCTAACCTAATGTGTAAGAGGCAGGGACTCTGTTGATGCAGGAAGAGTGGTACCTTCAATCATGTTGATGCTAGAGTCGGCTGGGACTGAGCTTGTAGACATGGCTGTGGAAGGGAAACGAGGAGACACTTGCCCCACACAACATACCAGTATTCCGATTTTGCCTCATCCCCACTGATGTCTAAAAGTTGCCTCGCAAGAGTATCAGTTTATATATTGTTACATATTGGGTTATTATCTTGCACCAAGCCACATGTTTTAACATCACTAAACCAGCTATCCTGGTTTGTACACGTATAACACTAAACTGTGGTTTACAAGCCACATTATGGTTTGGTACATTGCAAGAGCCTGATTTTAACTCATGTCAAGGTCCCTGATATCTGCACATGGTTATAATTAAGAAAGCTCTACTAGGAGGCTTGAAAAAAAAAATAACAACAACAAAAAAATCCTGGGCTTGTACATGCATAGATACGAAGTCCAGTTTAGAGACAGCTTACCAGACGGTTCTCTGGCACTCCTAGCACAACTTCATGTAAAAGATCTCCACTGCCAAAATGCTGTGCTATCGATAACCCACTCAGGCAGTAGCATGTATGGTAAAAATCTCGAGACCTGGAGGGAAATCACACACAAGGTTGAGATAACAGAAACTGGAGTGTTTTTATGCTATACCTGCATGCTTTTATGTAGAGTTCATTGTTGAAATTAGGAAGAGAATATGTAGAAAATCAAGCCAACAGGCAAAGTCTAGCTAGACTAAGACTCAAGGTGGGCACAGGCCCTTGGTCTCATCTTCAATACAGGTAGTTCTCAACTTACAACCACAACTGAGCCCAACATTTCTGTTGTTAAATCAGACATTTGTTGAGTGAATTTTGCCCCATTTTACAACCTTTCTTGCCTCAGTTGTTAAGTGAATTGCTGCAGTTGATAAGTTAGTAACCCAGTTGTTAACTGGGTTCCCCATTACTTTGCTTGTCAGAAGGTTGCAAAAAGTGATTACATGAGTTTGGAATACAGCAACGGTCATAAATATGAACCAGTTGCCAAACATCTGAATTTTGATCACATAATCATGGGAATGCTGGAAAGGTTGTAACTGTGAAAAACAGTCATAAGTCATTTTTTTCAATGCCATTGTAACTTTGAACGGTCACTAAATGAACTATTCTAAGTCAAGGACTACCTGCACCTCACATTAAGTCCATGGGTATCCCAAAGAAAGGCAGAAAGAGCTGAAGGATGATGGTAGAATTCCATCTCCTCAGAGTCTTTAGCTTTCATTTCTCAAGTCTTTCCGACCGTCAATGCATATATTAATCTGGCTACATTTATCTTCACAATAGAACCCAAGGCAAGTGGGAGGTGGGAAGTGGCTTTAAAGTTTTGTTGAGTTAAATAGGGTTGCCAGTAAGTTTGGGATGAGCTATTTCTCCTGTCAAGTTAAAGCAGAATTGTGTCAATTTAAGCTAATTTAATTAAACAGATTTCTGAATTTTGCTGCTCTTGACAAAAAAGCGTGGAAGCTGTACATTTCAATGCAGATTATCCAAATTCCCCAATTCAGATTCTGATGCCAATTCCTCCCCAACTCTATTTTCCAAAACACCTTCTCTGCCTATCATTTTAATGTCTCTCTATTATGCAAAGGGCTTTTAAGTTCCATTCTTAAGTACCAGCCATTTTTGATAATTCCAACTTTATCATTTCGAATAGCAAGAAAGATGCCAGTCAAGAATTACCCAGTACTAGAAGTTACTCACTTTCCTGGCTTGTCCAAAAGACCTCCTGCGGGACATTGGCAACACAACAAGATGTACTCTTGAAGGGCTTGTTGGTCAAACATCCAGTGTGTCATACTGAGAGCAGGATCACCTAAGAGAAACACCACATCAGTACAGAGAAACAGTTGAAAATAGCTCCTGCACGCCATGCTAATGGGAATATAGAAAGGGAATCTATTGATTCAAGTTTAGTTCTATAACATGACCCTATTGGAGAACTATATTTCCTATATTATTATTGTCTAGTTTCACCCTTCCCAAACCTGAACACTATCCAAGAGTTTTAAGTTTAGCTCTTCAGATTTTTCTAGTCAATGCAGCCATTGCTGAGAATTTTGGGAGTCAAAACTGTTTTGGAAGACAGGTTGGGTAAAGCTACTCAGATACAATGGAGTCCAACATTTATTGTGCCCAGCCAGGCTTGGAGCTGTAGCCCAACATGAGAAAGACACCAGGTTGAGAATGTCCTCATGGCCCACTCATAAGGCTCAGCTGTAGCAAATGTGGCTCACTTAATCACAACCAAGATGCCACCTCCTGAGTTTTTCTATTTCATCCTATTGAACTTTAAGGAGATTCCGCAGGCAAGAACTAAGTTTCTAGCAGTTGCTGGCAGCTGCTGCTTTTGTCCTCTAGTCTAGCCTTTCCAGTTATAAGTACTCAATAGATCATCCACCAGCTGTACGATGTGCTGCAAGACAACTGAAGGATCCAGTTGCTAAGGAAATAATTGGACCCAAATGAGTACTAAACAAGAGACAGGTTGGAAAAGAGTCAGAGCTAAAAATGTACTTTGCCTATCCTCAGACAGGATATTTTTCAGGCATTTCTGATCTTTTGCCTTACATGTTTTCTAGTCTTATTACTAAGTTGAAAGAAAAGTATTTCTCAGTTGCTACAAAATCAGAATGCCAAAGCTAAGATTATTTTGTGTTCTTCATTCTTGAGCTTTCACTGAACTCCAGCATACTTGTCTACTCCAAAGAAGAAATGTGTGCCCAGTGGAGAAAGCATGGGCAAAATTTTGAAGTTCAAACTTACCTTTGGCATGCAAAGCTCGATGTACGAGAGGCAGTAAACCGGCCTGCCAGAATGAGTAGCAGCCATCCACCAGCTTATTACAACGACCCTGAAACCCTCCTTCAAAACGCATCTGACGGCTTGTAACCCAGTGCTGGCAGAGAAAGCAAGCAATCATCATTCTTGCCCACCACAATCAGAGAAGCTGTTACACACAATAGACCAAGGTTCTCCAAACGTGTCCACTTTAAGTCTTGTGGACTTTAACATCCAGAATTCCCCAGCCAGCCATGCTGGCTGGGGAATTCTGGGAGTTGAAGTCCACAAGTCTTAAAAGAGGACACGTTTGGAGACCCCTGCAATAGACCCAACTTAAGAGAGTCCCAGACATTTGCATGTTTTTTTAATTTCCCCTTCAGTTTAATACAACCTTATTTCAACCATGTACCCAGGTGGCCACCCTTAGTTATGAAATTGAAAGAAGGAAACAAAAAATAGACTACTCAATCAACATACTACAAATAATTTTATTTAACACTATTATAACATGATAGAGTTGCTATCCAGGAAAGCCATTGAGAAAGAAGGGTATAGCAAATATTTCCCACCCAATAAGGGATAGGAGTGGTTTTCCCCAGAGTGATAATGGACAGGAACATTCACTGTTAGTGAATGTTCACTTTTAGTGAACATCACTTTTAGTGTTATGATATGTTTTGTTATTCTTTCTATTTTGAATTTTAAAAACACAATACTATCTCTCTAAAATAATATCTAATAATTTTGGAAAGATGCTCAGAGCCTTTATTGAAACTTGAGTGAAATAAAATTTGCAGTACTAAATAAATACCAAAAGTTGCGTATAAAACGTTTTAACTGAAATGCTAAAATTCACACACATCTTTGCTAAAGCAATCTTCTACAATGGTATTCTGAATACAGATCCCATCATCAAAGCCAGCACTCCTAGTGCTGGGACAAGCCAAGGAAGAGGACTGAGAATTTGGGTACTAAACTAGTAAAATATTTTTACAGAGTTATGGATTAGACAGAGATTTGAGACATAAAAGGTAATGTCAGACAGTTTATCCAGAAGAAATATTTACACAATGCAAGCCCAATTATCCAATTTTGTAATATGACAGGGATGTCCAAGTACTAGATTTGGGCAGTAGAAGATAAACTAAAAAAGGTAAAGGCAGGTCAGGGTTAAACGGGAAGCCTATTAGCAATGAATTAATTATGAATTAGACCCATCATTTATTTTTGAAACTGCAATATAGACTGGGACTTTTGGATAGCCAATTAAAAAGACCTACAGAAGACTGATTTGGATATGGTGACTGCAGAAGGCTTATCATATGCACAAAGATGGAAAAACAGTGCGATGCCCACAATGGAGACAGTAAAGATGGAAAAAAGGTGATCTGATGACTTATGGATTTGCTAATTTAAAAGGGTTGAATAATGGGGAAATATGATGTAATTTTAAAGAGACAAGTGTGCAGATTTACTTGTAACTGCTGTAAAGGAGATATAGAGTCACTCCTTTATATATTTTTCTTTTCTTGTTTCAGTTTGCTTTTCTCTCCCCTACTTTTCTCACTTTTTCCTTTTACTTATTTCTTCTTTTCCTTAATTTTAATTTATATTACTTTGTTTTATATCTGAGAACATTTTAATAAAGATTATGAAACTGTAATTCAAATGCGTTTGATTTCTCTTCCGTTCTTTGAATAGCATAAATAGATAAGCGAATCCAACAAATGGTTACTTACTAATAAACTTTTCAAATTCAAGACTTGTTCATTTTTGAGAATGACCAAGGCTGCCAGTCCACAAAACGTATATCCTCCATGGGCTTCCATCCCGGGGATGCCACCGATCCCGCCCTCCCAATTCTGACATCTAATTCAAAATTAAAACACAAAAGCAGGGGCTGTATTCTTGTTCCAAGATAGAAAATAAGATTAGTGTTTATCTGCTTTTCCTCATCTTGGTAGCTTAGAACAGTCTAAGTCTGTTAGATTGCAAACTAAGAGGTTCTTACCTTGCAATCCATTCTGCAGTTTTTTCAAAAAGAGACTGTGTAATAATGTTGGTAAGGGAAGCTACAGATGCAGCACAATAGGCACTCCTAAGATTTAAATAAAAAGAATATTTAAAAGCTATAGATGGAGAAAGAATATATATGGCTCTACTGTTGTAAGAAATCCTATATTACACTATAGTATTTACGACACACTCAGTATGCTATTGAAAAATAACATGTATCATAAAAAGAACTTTTAGTAATTCCTCTACTCCACTCTCAAAAAAGCATTCATGCAATGAAATAGCTTTGGGTAGAGGGAAGGAGAGAGATGTGGATAAAGATGGCAACTCTCTGTTGACAGGAGATTTACATTACTAACACAAGGAAGGAGACAATTGTTGGCAGGTTCCCATCTGTGCTATGGGCAACCTCCCACTCTAAACTGAAAAAGTTCCCCAATTCTCAGAATACAGGGCATGGGGGGGGGGGAATGTGTTGAAGGGGGCATCATTAACAATTGGCTTCCTTCCTATACAGCTGAATGAAAAAGGCTTCTGTGAGCAAAGCAACATCAATTGGGCACATTTTTAAAAGCACAACAGAATGGAAATTATACCAAAAGCTAAATTTGGACTTTACATTCACCCTTCTCTTTATCAAGCTTAATCAACTGATAATTTAATTTACATTTATAATTACAAAACATACTGTGTGGATATTGGTATTAAGACAGAGAGGCCTCTCTTTCCCTCAAAATCTCATGGAGGAGAGGGGAAGGTCCAAAGAAGTTATAGTCTTAAACAAATATGCAATCTTTTATTGGTTTTCCACATTGAATAGCATAAACCACAATTCTGTTTTAAAAGTGCTTTCTTTCTTCAATTTGCTGAACCAAAATAAAACCTGAGCGTGTGTGCTTTTTTTTCACAGCAGCACTGAGCTCATCTGAATTACAGTCACGGCAAGACAGCACTGTTTACCCTTACTGAGAATGTTTCCGCCTCTTACTTTACGTCTAGCCATGTCATTACCAACTTGTGCAGAATGTTAAATACACTTCAGGAGAAACTTCCCAGTAACTAACAACTCCTGATTTGCATTTTGAGAAAGCAATGCATGGAAAGTTTTCAACATACCGGACATCAACTTCTCCCCCTAGGTGCATGATAAAGGAGCCATCAGGCTGCTTCAGAGAATGCAGGTATTCCAGAAGCTTCTCTCTGAAAATGAGAAGAAGCTGATAAGATGAGGAACTTCAGGAATATTTATCCCAATTAGGAGAAAATCAAAGTAGTAAGAATGGCTCAGAATCTCTACACCAACTCTTTTTCACTTTTTTGATGGCAACCACCCCATATCGTGCTCTTCTGCAGAACCTGGGGCCTTCATCATCACTGCCAAAGGCAGAGTTTTCATTTCCAGCAAAATACCTGGATCCTTCACAACAGCTACCTTCTTACCACCACCACCCCAGGTGCTGTAATACTGTATCTTTGCATATACTCTTTGTTATATGACATATCAACAAAAACCAATTCTGAGCACTGAATCAGGTCAGACGTCATACAAAATGTCATAAGGTCAAATCAAGCCACATAACACTCAGTTGACTCCTATTCCTGGAATTCAAAGCAACTGGCTAGTGCAGTAAGGGAAATGCTATACTCAACCGCTGTAGAATTCCCGGAGGATTATCTCAGAACTCTGATTACATATTTAACTCCATACAGTACACATTTTCTCTCCTTACAACTCATAGGCTAATTTATTTTAGGGCCCAACTGTGATCCTATAGGAATGGCTACAGATAATCCCCAACTTACAACCACTCATCTAGTGACTGAAATTACAACAACACAAAAGAAGTGACTTATGACCATTTTTTATACTTATGACCATTGCAGCATCCCCATGGTCATGTGATCAAAATTTGACACTTCGCTAAATGGCGCCTATTTATAACAGTTGAAGTATCCCAGGGTCATGGGGTCACCTTTTGTGACCTTCTGATGAGCAAGGCCAATGGGAAAGCCAGGTTCACTTAACCGTGTGGCTAACTTAACAACTGCAGTGAGTCACTTAGTTAACTGTGGCAAGAAAGATCATAAAATGGGGCAAAACTCACTTAACAACTGCCTTCCTTAGCAATGGAAATGTTGGGCTTACATGTGGTCATAAGTTGAGGGCTATCGGTATTTCTCTTACTTTCTCCAACCTGTGTTAAAGAGCATCATTTTATACCTTTATGAGCACTGCCATGTGTATCTTCTCAGAGTTACACCTTGAAGATTAACTGTTCCTAACATGAACGTGTTCTTGACAAGTTTGTTTAATGTGCATGTAAATAAATACTCTACCAATAGAACTGATCAATATTTCTTCAAACTCCACTGTGGGGAGATTGTACAAAGGCAGTGGAAGAAATAAATAGTGATGGATCAGCCTTATGATGGCACCACATTGATCCAGGAGGTTCTGCTGTTCTTTTAGAAGAAAAGTGAACCTAGTATATCAGATAGTAGTTCTCTGGCAATTGGAGAAAAATGATAACATTTTTGACTCTCAACAGAATGATACAATTAGATAGCAGGCCAGGCTAGAATGTGCTGCATCATCCTGCAGTAGGTACTTCACCCACATAATTCTAAAACATGTGGAGAGGCACTGCTTTCCGTTTGTTTCCCACTGTTCATCATAACCTATAAGTCTCAAGAGCCAATTTGGGCTACAACTAGTCTAATACAAAAAAGGGCGGGAAGGAATGTAAACAACAGTAATGAAAGCAATGGGATGGGCTCCAGTTGCCAAAGAGCATCTGTTGGCAAAGTCTGTAAAACAGTTTCTTGCTCACTCACCAGTTGTCATTTCCTCTGCATTAAGTGAAATATGGAAGTCTGGGAGCAGAGTAGTATCTCTTAGGGATACTTTAGACATCTTGTATCATGAATGGAACTAACAATCCCTTGGATCCCCTTCTGAGCTATGATTTTACCTGTTGATAACATTGTATGCCTCTTCGGTGCCAATAATACATAGTGCATTCACAGCTGCATACGTTGGAGCAAGATGTGGGTGTTGGCCTGGTCCTCCTCCAAAGCCTCCGTTTGGGCTCTGACAGCGGCTCAGGAATTGGCACACACTACATACCAAGGAAAGGCAAAAGCAAAGCTAATTTGTAACAAGCAGCAAATGCTAAGTTTTCTTAATAGTTCAGTTTTGCTATAACGCTCTCCAATACACCCATTTCTGAAAACAACTATTATTCAAGATTTTTCCAGATGTCTCCTTCCTGTCATATATCTCCATCATAAGGTAAATGAAGAAAAAAAAATCCAGAACTTTTACTCTAGCGCAAATTTTAACCTCATGCCCATGCCACTATATTCCACTGACTTTTATTTTCAACTGATTGTATCAAATCCAAAAAAACACAACTGAGACACCACTTGGACACTGCAGCTTATGGTTGCTTTACGGTTCCTCCTGAAAATCAAATGCAGGAAAAGATCCCCAAGTGAACATTTTGGTTTCTCTTCAGATTATATAACATTTGCCTTCTACAAGAGGGGAAAAAATCTGCAGAAAGAGGAAAGCAGAGAAAAGAAATGTAGAAAAACGATCTTGAGCTCCTACAGGAGAGATGTACAGAGATCCAAGAACTAAAACATCTGCTCAAAGATTGTCTCTCATCAAGATTACTTAGCTAACCGCACGATTTCCACTATGGTTTCGTTCTGGTCAAATATGATTTCTGAACTCTCTCTCTTAATTATTCAGAGCAACTTTATCACTTGCTGTAATCTAATCAGGTTTCAACAAGTAATAATCCTGACTTCCGGTGGTTAAGGCGGTGGAGATGGCGGCTACTTTGTAGCCGTCCTCCTGAGACGGTGTCAGATCCGCGGAGCACAGCGTTCATCAGCTGGCCCGCGGCTCGCAATCCTCTTCCCGGGCGAAGGGAAGGGGTAGAGATCGCATGAATAGAGGTAGAACCTCTTAACCTTCCCTGGATTTTTATTTTAGGGGGGTAGAAAGAGTGCTCCCTCGGAGTTCATTGCCTTCTCCGCCTCTCAGCTGTCTTTGTTTCTTCGGAAACAAAGCGAAACGCCGCTACCATCTCCGTATTTAAAGTAACCGTGAGTAATTTTAAACCGGACAGAACTGTTTAAAGGATTTTATTTATAGTTTAGCTTTATTTTATTTTTTTTTTAGTTTACTTAGTTTATTTAGTATGTGCTGATTTTTTTTTTTACTTTTTGAGCTTTCTTTTTTTTCTCGCGGGCGGAAAAGTGAGAGTGAAAGTAAAATGGCGTTTTGAAAGTTTTTTTTTCCTTTGAAAGACGGACTGGCTGAACTGTTGCTTAATTCTGCTTTCCTTTTTATTTATTTTTTTATTATTTTTTGGGAGTTTTTAAATTGATTCTATTTTATTCTATTTTACCTTATTTTTAATTTTTTGGATTTTTTATTTTCTATTGGTATTTTTATGAAGAAAGAAAGATAAATTAAAATGGCTTCAAAACGACAACCAGCTACTACAGCTCCTAAGGTAACTTCTTCTCCTGCTACTTCTACTGTGCAACAACAACTTAAAATAATACCCTCAGTGCAGCAACCTAAAACTACTCCACCTTCACCTCCCCCATCTGGCACATCAGCACAAGACATTAAAGAAATAATGGTAAATGCTGTGTCACAGTTTAGGGAGGAAATGAAGCAACTTTTGGAACAGAATAAATCTGAAAGCAAGGAAGAAATGAAGAAAGAGATGAAGGAGCTTTTAGAACAAAATAATACTATTTTGAGGGATGACATACTTTTAGCTTTATCTGGAGTGGCCTCAGTGGTCGTGAAGCTGGATTCTAGAGTGGAGGAAATTGAAGAAACAGTAGAACTTTTGGATTATAAATTCCAAGATATGCAGAAAAAAGTGGAAACTTCACAAGATGATATTCTCATGTTTCAGTATAGACAGATGGAATATGCTTTGAGAATAAGAGGCCTGAAAGAAGATAAAACCCAAGACTTGATGGAAATGGTGATTAATGACTTGGCTGTTATTTTGAATATAGATAAAGATGAGTTACGTGGGGAAGTGGAAAGAATTTATAGAGTTAATTCTTGGATTGCAAAACAGAAGAATCTGCCTAGAGATGTGGTGATATATTTTGCTAAGAAGTCTTTGAGAAATCAGATTCTGCAAATTTTTTACAATAAAAGATTTCAGATTGCTGCCCAAGATATTATTATTTTAAAGGAAATTCCACCTAAAATTTTAAGAAGCAGAAAAGATTTTGCTTTTCTAGCAAATGAACTTAAAGCAAGACTGATGCCATTTAGATGGTAGATTCCAATGGGTATTGTTTTGAGCCATGCGGGGACACGTTATAGACTTAATACAGTTGTTAAAGCTAAGGAATTTTACAAAACGGTCCTGGGTGCAGGCTCACCTTTGCCCATGATGCACAAAGTCTTGAGTGATAAAGAGATGGAACAGAAACCTGAAGGTACAGGTGCGATGACTGCCGGACAGGTGGTATGGATGTCTCAAGCAGAGATTAAAGAACAGAGAATGACTCGTGCAGCACATAAACGTAAAGAAAAAGAACAACAGAAAAAAGAAAAAGAAATTAAAGAATCTACTCAGCAAATTGTTTCAATGCCGGTGGGAGGAGCAAGACCCAAAAGCTCTGCAACATACTCTTCAGTAGCAGAATTTGAGGGGATCTTCTCCAGGCTCAAGGCCAAGGGAGATGGCAAAGCTCCTGACCTGGAATGTTAATGGATTAAATATTCCTCAAAAGAGAAAAAAAATCTACCATTATTTAAAGCAACACAACAATGATATTATCTGTTTGCAAGAAACTCATATTACATCTAAAGATCAAAAATACTTAAACAATCCTCGTTTGGGATCTCATTTTGTATCTCCCGCCCCTGGGAAAAAAGGGGGTGTGGTAATTTATGTTAAGCAGAATTTATCTGCTATCCTGTTAGAATCAGATCCTCATGGAAGATATGTTATGCTTGAACTTGGTTTATATGGCAAGAAAATTCTTATTGTGGGGCTGTATGCACCAAACCAGCAACAGGAGCAATTCTACAGGTTGCTACATCAGAAAATAACCTTGTTGGACTATAGATCTGTGATTTTAATGGGAGACTGGAATGGTGTTTTAGATATACAAAAGGACAAAAAAGGCTCTTCTACTTTTTTTAAACAGGCTAAACTACCTAAAGCCTTCTTTGACATGAAAGAAGATTGGGAATTGAGAGACTATTGGCGTGAACGTAACCAAGAAGAAAGGGACTTTACCTTCTTCTCAGATAGACACCAATCTTTCTCAAGAATTGATTTTTTTTTTATCACAACAGATTTATACAACAGGGTGAAGAATGTAAAAATTTTTCCTAGGACATTGTCTGATCATAGTCCAGTTTGGATGGAACTGTTTGCTGAGAAAGAAGACAGGAGATCCTGGAGGGTGAATGAGAATTTATTTAAACAAGAAAAAAATGTTCATAAACTAAAGGAATGTTTAAAGGAATATTTTGCTTTAAATATGAATAAGGGAACATCAATGTCAATGGTGTGGGATGCAAGTAAAGCTTTTATGCGTGGTATTTTGATAAAAATGAATAACTTGCATAGACAGAAACAGATTCAGAAACGTAAAGATTTAGAAGAGGAGATTAAATTAAAAGAGAAACTCCTAATTTCAAATCCTTTAGATGAAAAGGTGAAAGGAGCTATAAAACTGTTAAAAACACAATTTAACATGTTGATGGCTGATCAAGCTGCAACCAATTTACTATTTATGAAACAAAATACATTTTGTAATGCTAATAAACCAGGGAGATGGTTGGCTTATCAGTTAAGAAAGAAACAGAAACAGAGGAATATAGATAAAATAAATTATAATGGTAAATTGGTTTATCAGAAAGAATTGATTAAGAAATCTTTTTTAGAATACTACCAAAAATTATACAAGAGTACTAATATTCAAACTACAGATATAAATAATTATTTAGGTAAAGTTAATTTTTCTAAATTAACAGAAGATCAGGAAAAAGAGATTAATGGTTTAATTACTAAGGAAGAAATTGTTACAGCTATTAAACAATTGAAATTGGGCAAAGCGCCGGGTACGGATGGGTTGACATCTATTTATTATAAAACTCTAGTAGAAGAGATGACTCAACCGTTGTGTGAATTGTTTAATAACTTATTACAGGGGTTAGAGATCCCTCCATCTTGGCGTAATGCATTTATATCACTGATTCCAAAAGACAATCAAGATCTTACATTGCCTAAAAATTATAGGCCTATATCTCTTTTAAATGTGGATTATAAAATTTTTGCAAAAATTTTAGCCAACAGGCTTATGGGGATCTTGCAGCAGCTTATACATAAGGATCAATCGGGTTTTATAACTGGAAGGTATATGAAAAATAATGTCAGACAAATCATTAACTTATTAGAGTATTTAGAAAAGAATAACCAAGTCTCTGCAGGCCTGATATTTTTGGATGCTGAAAAAGCCTTTGACCAAGTGAATTGGCAGTTTATGTTATGTTTAATTAAGGAGATGAATTTTGGACAAAATATATTACAAGTATTATCTAATATATATCAAAAACAGACTGCTCAACTTATTGTAAATGGGGGTTTGTCAGAGGCTTTTGTAATAGAAAAAGGTACAAGACAGGGATGCCCGTTATCTCCGTTATTGTTCGTTTTAACATTGGAAATTTTGTTGATTAAAATTCGGGAGTCTCAAGAAATAAAAGGAATAGAAATTAATAAAAAAGAATATAAATTAAGAGCCTTTGCAGATGACTTGGTTGTTACTTTGTCTCAACCTACTTGTTCGGTGGTAAAATTATTACAATTGATCCAACAATATGGACGTGTTTCTGGTTTTAAAATTAATAATAATAAGACTAAAATATTAGCTAAAAATATGACTAATGGTGATAAACAGGTTTTAGTTAAGTTAACGGACTTTGAAATTGTTGATAAGGTAAAATATTTGGGGGTTATATTATCTGCTTCCAATGTAAAATATTATCATATCTGGTGGACGTGTAAGCATATAAAAGCTTTTTGGATTAAGATATGGTGGAATATTCAAAGAA